TTCCTCATTCCCTTCTAGCACTGATGATGTTACCTACTTGGGTAATGCAACGCCTGCAATAAAATAACTTCAGAGAACACCAAGGACTCCTCAGTCCTCCTCCTCCTCTATCCTTCCTCATTCCCTTCTAGCACTGATGATGTTACCTACTTGGGTAATGCAACGCCTGCAATAAAATAACTTCAGAGAACACCAAAGGCAACTGCAAAGCCAGCTGGGCCAACAGTAAAGTGCATGGGCCAGAAGGAAGCAGAAACTGCACTTACTCACAAATTTCCTCTTGACCAAGAGGGCCTCCTGGGAGCCATTGAGGATGTAGATCTGCAGAGTGTATTCCTTGGTGGGACTCAGCCCCCCCACAGTTGCTTTTGCCATCTTGGTTTTCAACATCACTTCCTGCTCAGAGTCACCTACAATAGGTAGAACGAAAATAAATAAATTCACCAACGTACAAATCATTAATCATTAAACATCCAATCAAAGCCCTTGACTTACAAGTGGTCGCTTAACGACCACTCAGATTTACAACGGAGGCAGAATGGGTGCTTTACAGCCTGTAACACACACACACACACACACACACACAGGCAAACTGGTTGCCAAGTGCAAAAATGCAGTCATGTGACCACCAGGAGTGCGTGTGTGTTTGTGTGTGTGCGCGCCCACGCGTGCCGCACACAGGGGCCACCATCGGAACCCCTGAACAAGGTCATAAGTACCTTTTGGGTGTCTGTTATAACTTAAAACACTTGCTAAGCAACTGGCCGTTAAGTGAGGACAGCCCGTAGACACCATGAATCCATCCGAATGTCAGAAGGAGACGAGTATCATTTTTTCCGACCAGTTCATTTTATTAAAAGGCATAAGCTTCCGTGAGCTCATTAAAGTCTATGTCATTTAATACAACTTATCAACTGGAATAGATAGAAGATGGAATAATATTTAGGCTTGGAAGGGACCCTGGAGGTCTTCTAGTCCAACCCCCTCTTCGAACGGGAGACCCATACCATTCCGGACAAATGACTGTCCAGTCTCTTCTTGGAAGCCTCCACAACTTCCTAAAGCTAGCCTCAGTGGTAGGCTTTGAAATTTTTTTACTACCAGTTCTGTGGGCATGGTTTGGTAGGCATGGCAGAGGAAGGATGCTGCAAACTCCCCATTCCCTCCCGATCAGTGGTGGGTTCTGGCCGGTATGGCCCAGTACAGCCATACTGGTAGTAGTCAGTAGCAATGGCCACCATACCTGTACGGTGGCTCGTTTGGGCCACCCGCCCGCCCCTGTTCCATACCTGTTTTTGAAGCAACTGGGCCAATTGAGCACGCGCGCACACAGCGTGCAGCACCTGTACGACCTCCGACGAGCAGCTGGGTGTCCAGGGGCAGTGGAGTGTGCATGCGTGCACAGCGCATGTCAGGTGCATGCACGAACAGACCACGAGCAATGTACCGGTAGCGACAGTAAGAGCAACCCACTATTGCTTCCAATCCACTGGGATCGGGAGGCAGAGATGTGGGCGAGGCCAGCCAGAGGTGATATTTGCCGGTTCTCCGAACTACTCAAAATTTCCATTACCGGTTCTCCAGAACTGGTCAGAACCTGCTGAATCCCACCTCTGATTCCACTGATTAATTGTTCTCACTGTCAGGAAATTCCTCTTTTGTTCTAGGCTGTTCTAGATTCCTTCTGATGTTTGGCTATCCTAGACTGAAATGTCTCCTTTCCCCACTGTGAATCCATCAAGTTCTACCATCTCTACAGCCTCCTTGTCTTCCCTCAATATTTCTTTGTCATTGAGCGCATCTCCTAGTTTCCCGATTCGGAGAGAAGTCTTTTTCCAAACACCTGCGAACTGGCAAACCATAAGAAAAATGGCAGAACACATGATGTGGGAAATTGCCTGTTCCGTAGCTACCCTAAAATTAAATCTATTGACCATTTGACTTGGAATTAAATTAAATAGAGGCACGCTCTGTCTTCATTCTCCTTGTATAATTCAGCTTTGTGTGTAAAATATGAGCGCCTTTCACAGCTTTGTCAGTTTCTGGTATATTATTGGCTTGTTTAACCAACTAGAATTAAACTTCACATCGAATCTACTTCATGGGAAAGCTGCAGCCCCCTCAGGGATATAATCAGAGTAGGTTTAGATCTGATTTTGCACATCTGTAATTAGCTTAAGGGTCCCCCAGAATGATAACTCTGCATATTTTCCAAATTCATCTGAATTAAAGATAAAGGAGATAACAATCGGTTTAGGTGTATCCAAGGTCAGAGATCTGAAATGGTAATTTTATCAATGCTAATTTTATTCTAAAAGGAAGGTCAACAAAGCCTTTTTAATAAAGATCAGTGCAAGAAAAGTGTTTTGTTACACATGTTCGCTTTATCTGGAGGTTCTTTGTTTAAAATCAGGTTTTCATTGTTGGATAATTGTGCAATTTTTAAAATCTTTGTATCTATTCCTCTCTATTTTGCATGTCTTTGCATGGTTTTTCCCAACATACCAATTTTAAGATGCATAGATTTCAACTCCCAGAATTCCCCAGTTGGCATGAATTCCACCCATCTAAAGTCACCAAGAAACACTGTTCTTTCGAGGACAGTAGCTCCACCCCTTTTGTGCATGCAGCAAAGAAAGGCTTTGGGGCTTTGATTTTGTTGCTACCCAACCATTGCCTCCTTTGTATGGGCATCTGTTGTGGCCCAGCAGGAGCCATTGGAGCTGCAAACAGACTCCGCCAGCGAGGGGCCCTCTGAGTCGGCTCTG